GCTGGATATTATACCAATGCTTGGTCCTTGGATTGCTGCATTATTGGCTATCTTACAAGCATGTTACAGTCACGAAGTGGGCTTCAGTCTTCGACTTCCATGTCGGGTAATGATTGCATATCTCCAAGTTTTTCTGCTGTTTCACAATAGAGGTATCAGTCAACAAGTTCGGACTTGGAAGCGAAGGTTGTCACATCTTTCTCTACAAGGTTTTTCAAGCATGATGCAACGACAGTTCGCAGTTTACGCACTGCTACATGTCAACGCAGAACCTACAGCTGGTGGACAATGGTGACAAAACAAGACCGTCTACGTGGGCAGTACTACTACGGGAATCCATGCTAGACAGGATGCTCGATGGAGAAAACATCGATGCCTAGAACAAGGACAGATGGCAAATGTGGAGCTGGTTATGCTTATCTTCATTCTCGTGGATTGTTACATGAAGTTGCAATAGTACTATGGTTTAACTTGGTCAATGCGACTGACACAAGGACTAAAGAATTGGAGATTATACAGAGCTGGAGGCCAATGTACAATCATCCTTGGATCAACAAATTGCATCCTACATCTACTTTTCGAACAACAAAACTGTCAATTGTGGCATTTTCAAAATCCCCCAGATTGTGCAAGAAAGTTAGGAGAAGACTACAATCACTTGGAATTCTTCGGTTTTATATGTCTTATACAGCGTCACCTCATCATGGTTGGGCTTATCTTATGATGCTTGCAGCAGGAGGTCACGAAGACTTCGATCTTCAGAGTTTTCACGTCTTCATGTATTTGCATTACATAGATTGGCGAACAACCTTGAAGATCCTCCTCGTACCAAGGTTAAATCTCTTCTTCGGAAGGTTTTAGAGTTCAGAGGACTGGCTTTTCCAATGCAAAGCAAACCTTTGGTTATTCCATTGTTGGCTCACCCTGGTTACAAAGCTGCTGTTAAGAGCTTCTTGCGACGTCAAGTGCTAACATGCAAAGAATTTCTGGTACCCTTTCATCTACCCTCACATCAAGTGGTATCTGGGAAGACCCAAAGCATCAAAGATGTTCTGTACAACTATCTACCTATGCAGAAGTCCTGGTCGTGGACTACTCCGCCCCGCTGCAATTGCAACCAATTTGTCCAAGATCATCCGGAAGTATGCGTTACTCATGGACATGTAGCATCACCTGCTAGACTTCTAAACGTAACAAAAGATTACGGCAAATCCTTTGCTTTTCAGCATCATCGGAGGTTTCGCCATCTTTTGAGTTCTATGTTTCCAGCACAGCCACTACCGTTCGACAGTGGATGCGTTCCAATGGTAGTTATGGATATATTCCTGAAGAGTGGGATCAGGTTCTCCTATCCCAATGGCCATTGCATTTGCAGTCCGCTTGGACCACTGTCAAGAAGAAGGATCTAATGTACCTACGACAGCTTCTACGTGGAATGGTGATACAAGGTCGTGATCATGCACCAAATGAGATCTTTACTGCCCTCTCATGTATTGGAAGGTATTGAAAGCTACATTTGGAGATCAACAGGTGTACCGTTCAGTGTCTATGTCACCTATGCAAGCTGAGCAATTCCTGCTACAACATTCACAACAAAAGTGGCTTCGACCTTATGCATGGGGTAAGTCAACCAGATCATCATCGCTTCCCATTGCTTACATCCTGTTCAAGCAAAAGAAAGCATTTCAGGCAGCAAGACCGATCATCAGCTATCGTTTCTTTATATTTGCCAAGCTCATTCGTGCAGCTGCCATTGTTCTAGACAAGAGAGACTCTACCTGATAGTTTTGGATTACAAACATTTCCGGCAATGATGGATCAGCTTGTCAAGTTCTTTCAACAAGTCTCTGAAGATTGCAAGTTGCAGTGTTACAATCAGGATTTGGTGGGCTTCTTTACAAGCATACCGATCGATCGCATCATGGATGCTGTACAATGGATGCTTCAACAGTTTATGTACAAACATGATACTGATCTTGCAACATACTCTTTCAGTGTTTCTCTTCGAGAAGCTGACAGTAAGCTTCGAGTATGGAAGGGTAAATCCAGAGCAGCTGGGCATCGCATGTATCAAGTCTTCTTTCGTGATCTACTTGCAATTGTTCGGATGTCTTGTGACTTCAGTTACTTTACTGCTATGGGTCGTGTGAGAGGTGCAGCCATTGGCAATCAAATCTCTCCAATTCTTGCCAGTATTAGTGTGGCATACCTTGAGCAAGCTTGGGCCAATCAATTTTCAGATCTTCGATCATGCATCACCAGTAGATTTCTGTGTTTGCGATATGTTGATAATCGCATTGTTCTTATTGACCAGGACTTGGTAGGTCATCCGGCGATTCAACAGTTTTTACATGATGACTTCTATATTCCACCAGTGCAGTTGGAAGCGGTACTCACACCTGGGATACAATGTGAATTCTTGGAATTTGATGTTCAATTGAAGCCAACTTTTGCCATTCCGATGATTATGACGAAGGATCTTTGGAGATTCCGGTTACCGTCGTCGATGCAGTTCAGTTACAAAAATACATCATTGTATCTATCTCGCAAGGCCAACATCAAGAAGTACGTTTGGCCGGCGGAACGTAAACAACAACAACTTGGAGCACTGGACAAGCTTTTTGAACATATCTTTTCTCGGATGTAAACGTGAGGTTTCATTGGCAGCCTCTTTGGATGCAGCTGAGACAAGCTTTTAGTCCCCATGAATCCTAATTATAATTCGGCGATGGAACCATTGCTGGTGTTAGATCGCTGCATACTTTATACTCAAAGTGAATTACAATCTCTTCGAGCCGACACCATTCAGTACAAGGAAGAGGAGAAGTCCATCCATCGCATTCAGCAGGCCCAGTTGGACTCCCTTCAAAGCCAACTACGAGATCTTTCCCAGCAGATGACAGAAGTTACTGAGGCCACTACAGAGTTGTACAATCAGCTTAGGCAAATCCGAGGAGCTCTTGACAGCATGGTGTCTGACCTTAAGCATCATGTTGATTCGGTCTCAAATTGCACTGTACCACCTACGCAACCTGCTTACAGTCAAGGGCCCTCCCAAAATAGCTGAACGTGGACAGCCACAATTTTTGATAAGCAAAAGAATGTTGTAGTGGTTGTATTGCGAGTGCTCTTCCGATCATTGAGCATGATATCTTCTTTCTTGAGCAATGTTGCTTTCAGCAGCTGTTTTGGTCTTTGTGAAGTGACTTTGAATCGCAAAATGGATAGCCAAAGGGAGCGTAGTCGTTCACCTCCTTCTACCAGATTACTATGGCGATGGTGTTGGAAAACACCCGACTCTGGTAAGAGTTGGTACTGGGAATGGTTTCCGGTTACCTATAACTGGATTCGCAAGAAGGCAGCTATCAATCAAAGCGCTATTCAATCACCTTCGACGGCAACTTCAAGCAAGCAAGCACAGTGTTTCATCAATGGTGATTCACCTTCCAAGAAGAGAAAATGCAAACGTACGCCGTGAAAGAAGCTGAACAGCTAGTTAATCTTTTTGCTGAGCTTTGTATTGCTTAGCCTGCATCAACAACTCAGAGCAGTCGCTTTAAGCGACAACAAGGTCCTTTAAGTGAACATTAGTTTCACTTGCATTGGTTGGACATCTTGAGCACAAAGGAACTGTCTTCAGCCTTTTGCGTGTGATTGTTTGCGGTGCAGATCTTGAGCAAAGTAGTGCATCATCATTGTCTGCAGCCGACGGGTTCTTTTTAGCTTGTAGCATTGTGGTTCAATACCAACATGGGCGATTCTCAACAAGTTGCAGATGACAATCTGACAGCCTCCCCTACGGCATCAGAACATCCATCGGAGCGACGAGAGCGACTTTCGCAAGCTCCACTACAGATACTGGAGCACCCAAATTCCGGAACCGGCTCCAATACACCTGCTTCAGCATCTTCCTTGGGTAGTGATCTACGTGAACTGTTGGCTGAGTTTGTTGAGAGCACTACAGCTGAGATTACTGCTTTGAAACAGCTTGTTTCAACTTTGGAGTTCCTACATTCGTAGTGGCTCTTGAAGCACCATTCCTGCTCACTTCTGTGATTCAATCTTTCTAATCTTTTAAGACTTTGTATGTTATCTGAACAAAAGCAGGGAAGTGACGAAGCATTCTTCAAGTGAACGACAGTTTCACTTCAATCGATCGTATCATTCGAGCACAAAGGACTGCTTTTGGAGAGTAAAGGGTTTTGAATTTAAAGGGTTATGAAGATCTTTGGATGTAAAAAAACCTTTAACTTGTCTGGTTGTTTTGTTGATAACCGGTTCTACCGGGATCGTGTGTGTGCAACTCCTGTATCCAAGGATTTTGAGTCTCTAAAGCTTCTGCACTGATGCATTGTATTGGAAGAAAAGCAAGGAGTTGAGTATCTAAAGCCTCTGTGTCACCGCATTGTATATGAAGAGAAGCAGGGGGCTGGCAGCCTATTCCGTGATGCCAGCCAACGAAGCTATCGGAATGGGTGGAAAGAGCTGTGGACGCATAGCTCTGTACCTGCAGTCTCACTCGCTGATCGATTTGCATCTTCAGTTTTATGAGCCTTGAGTCCAACATATTCAATTGTATCGCTCATCTAATGTATATATGTCTTTGAGATGAACCCGGACCAAACGAAGATTTCTGAGGCCTCTGTATTCGAAATCAAAATAATCCAGATATTAAGATTTCGCAGCAAAGCAAGAAGTATCAAAAGGAAGTGTGAAAGAAGATGAAAGAAGAAACACTACGAGACAACCGGCAGAGACCGGATTTCCATGTGTGTGTACGATATTCGCTGTGAACTGCTGTCAGTTGGGATGTCGTTTGTTTGTGCGAGGCACGAGAGCATGGCTTCGAGCACAATACTCCAGATCATGTCCCATACTCTGCTCGGAGACTACACCGTCACAGCATTTAAACATACCACTTTCCCCAGCACCCTTATCTTTTCAACAACACGACGCTACCCAAACTCTCGATCTCAACTTCTGGCTCTCCCACAACCTGCCTTCTTTCCGGCGTCCCCGATATGGTTGTAATTCAGATCAAGGACCATAAGGGCGGCGAGGCCCTTGAGAGCGGGCGCCAGGGCCTGGCGGTGAGTTCTTTTTCCAAGCGCAGTGCCTTGCACCTAGATGGGCCGTCGTGGCGACACCTCCGATACTCTAGCATCCTCTGCACCCGCGTGGCCTTGAGATCTGAAACCGGGAAGTCTCGTCTTACCCCGCCTGAGCACCCTGTAAACGGATCTCGTTTCCAGATAGGTCCAAAATCTCCAGCAAGGACATGCCCGTGAAGGACTCCGTCAGAGCCTGGCCGGCCCACATGTGTGGAGCACTTCCACGGCATGTTGCAAACCAAAGGCGCGTACTGGTAGCAAGTTGAGGGTGCAAACTAGGCTGCTCACAGCAGACCCAACTCGTGACCCAACTCGTACTGTCACGTGTCACCTCTTCGGTCGATTCCTTGCAGCAGTAACATCTCATACCAACATAATCGAAGCGTCGGTCAATTTCGGTTCTCCCACGACACGCTTATGCCTAGATGGGTCGTCGTGTCGACACCTCCTATACCGTCGCGGTGTTGAAAGATAGCGTCCGTCTTGCCCATCATCCGTGTCTAGAAACCTCCCAACGAACCACTCAGAATCCCCCTGAGCTTCACGGTTCGATCTTAACTTCCGGTCCTCCCACGACGCGCCTTCGCCCCGTCGGCCCCGAGATCGTTGCAGCCGAGTCTAAGGACCTCCAGGGCGGTCAGGCCCTTGAGAGCGGGCGCCAGAGCCTGTTTCGCAAGTCAAGATTGAGTCGAGGAGGGGCTGAATGCCACCCCTTTTGACAGAGAGTAGGGATTTAATTATAGCCTCCTCTATAGCGAGGAAATCGAAGCGAAGCTCGGAACCTCACAAATCATTCGTAATTCAGAATCTCCACTCAGCTTCACGGCTGCAGCTTACAGTAGCTTCCGGTTCTACCACGACGCGCCTTCGCCCCGTCGTCCCCGAGACGGTTGTAGCCCAGATCAAGGAACTTCAGGGCGGCGAGGCCCTTCAGAGCCGGCGCCAGAGCCTGGCGGCGGAAGCTGCGGAAGCTGCTTTCCCGAGCGACGTGCCCTCCACCTACGTGGGCCGTCGTGCTGACAATGTGCGATGCTCAAAAAATCTCTGCACCCACTTGGCCTGGAGATCTTGGCAAGACAGAACTGTACTCTACACCATACAAGGCAGAAGGCCAGGCTAAGGTGAAAAAATTCCACCTTCCCGGGGCTGAGCACCCTCTGAGCCGATCTTGTTATGACTTAGCTGCTCGAGCAAGGACATGCCCGTGAAGGATTCTGCCATAGCCTGGCCGGCCCCGACGTGTAGTGTAGCAAGCCCAGGATCTAAACCAGAGTGCTTACGGCAGACAACTCGTTCTGTCGGGTGTCCTTGCAGCAGGTCTAGCTACCTCCGGGTTCTTCCTCTCAAGCTAGGATCGAGGAGAGCCTGAATGCCTCTCCTTTCGACAGGAAGATACCGCGCAAATGCTCATTACTCATTACATCACATCACAAGATCTTCGAAGCGAAGCGCAAACCCTGCGAGCGTTCGAGGCTCAGGACGAACCGCTGAGAATCTCCCCTCAGCTTAACGGCTCGATCTTAACTGCCGCTAAGCCCACGGCACGCCTTCGCCCCGTCGGCCCCGAGATCGTTGGTGGCTAGATCAAGGGACTTCAGGGTGGCGAGGCCCTTGAGAGCAGGCGCCAAAGCCTGGCGGCGAAGTTGCTTTCCCGAGCGAAGGGCCTTACACCTAGATTGGCCGTCGAGTCAACATGCGTGATGCTCTAGATTCCTCTGCACACGCTTGGCCTGGAGATCTTGATAAGACAGAACTGTACTAGCAGAAAGCCAGGCTAGGGTGAGAAAATTCCACCTTCCCCGGCCTGAACCCCCTGTGAACCGATCTTGTTATCTTGTAGGTCCAACTGCTCGAGCAAGGACATGCCCGTGAAGGACTCTGCCATAGCCTGGCCGGCCCCGGCGTGTAGTGTAGCAAGCCCAGGATCTAAACCAGAGTGCTTACGGCAGACAACTCGTTCTGTCGGGTGTCCTTGCAGCAGGTCTAGCTACCTCCGGGTTCTTCTTCTCAAGCTAGGATCGAGGAGAGCCTGAATGCCTCTCCTTTCGACAGGAAGATACCGCGCAAATGCTCATTACATCACATCACAAGATCTTCGAAGCGAAGCGCAAACCCTGCGAGCGTTCGAGGCTCAGGACGAACCGCTGAGAATCTCCCCTCAGCTTAACGGCTCGATCTTAACTGCCGCTAAGCCCACGGCACGCCTTCGCCCCGTCGGCCCCGAGATCGTTGGTGGCTAGATCAAGGGACTTCAGGGTGGCGAGGCCCTTGAGAGCAGGCGCCAAAGCCTGGCGGCGAAGTTGCTTTCCCGAGCGAAGGGCCTTACACCTAGATTGGCCGTCGAGTCAACATGCGTGATGCTCTAGATTCCTCTGCACACGCTTGGCCTGGAGATCTTGATAAGACAGAACTGTACTAGCAGAAAGCCAGGCTAGGGTGAGAAAATTCCACCTTCCCCGGCCTGAACCCCCTGTGAACCGATCTTGTTATCTTGTAGGTCCAACTGCTCGAGCAAGGACATGCCCGTGAAGGACTCTGCCATAGCCTGGCCGGCCCCGGCGTTTGAAGCACTTCCACGTCATGTTAGTTCGGCGCAAATTCGTGCACAACGGTCGTAGCAAGCTAGGCATGTAAACTAGACATCCACGGTGTTGCATGTCTGCGGATACCTCCGAGTTTTCGCAAGTCAAGATTGAGTCGAGGAGAGGCTGAATGCCACCCGTTTTGACAGAAAGCAAGATTGGGACTTCATTATAGCACGGAAATCGAAGCGAGGCTCGGAACCTCCCAAACCATTCAGAATTCAGAATCTCCACTCAGCTTCACGGCTGCAGCTTACAGTAGCTTCCGGCTCTACCACGACGCGCCTTCGCCCCGTTGGCCCCGAGATCGTTGGTGGCTAGATCAAGGGACTTCAGGGTGGCGAGGCCCTTGAGAGCGGGCGCCAAAGCCTGGCGGCGAAGTTGCTTTCCCGAGCGAAAGGCCTTACACCTAGATTGGCCGTCGAGTCAACATGCGTGATGCTCTAGATTCCTCTGCACACGCTTGGCCTGGAGATCTTGATAAGACAGAACTGCACTAGCAGAAAGCCAGGCTAGGGTGAGAAAATTCCACCTTCCCCGGCCTGAACCCCCTGTGAACCGATCTTGTTATCTTGTAGGTCCAACTGCTCGAGCAAGGACATGCCCGTGAAGGACTCTGACACAGCCTGGCCGGCCCCGGCGCTTGAAGCACTTCCACGTCATGTTAGTTCGGCACAAATTCGTGCACAACGGTCGGAGCAAGCTAGGCATGTAAACTAGACATCCACGGTGTTGCATGTCTGCGGACACCTCCGCGTTTTCGCAAGTCAAGATTGAGTCGAGGAGGGGCTGAATGCCACCCCTTTTGACAGAGAGCAGGGATTTAATTATAGCCTCCTCTATAGCGAGGAAATCGAAGCGAAGCTCGGAACCTCACAAATCATTCGTAATTCAGAATCTCCACTCAGCTTCACGGCTGCAGCTTACAGTAGCTTCCGGTTCTACCACGACGCGCCTTCGCCCCGTCGTCCCCGAGACGGTTGTAGCCCAGATCAAGGACCTTCAGGGCGGCGAGGCCCTTCAGAGCCGGCGCCAGAGCCTGGCGGCGGAAGCTGCGGAAGCTGCTTTCCCGAGCGACGCGCCCTCCACCTACGTGGGCCGTCGTGGTGACAATGCGCGATGCTCAAAAAATCTCTGCACCCACTTGGCCTGGAGATATTGGCAAGACAGAACTGTCCCCTGTACCATACAATGCAGAAGGCCAGGCTAAGGTGAAAAAGTTCCACCTTCCCCCGCCTGAGCACCCTCTGAGCCGATCTTGTTAAAACGCAGGTCCAACTGCTCGAGCAAGGACATGCCCGTGAGGGACTCCGCCAATGCCTGGCCGGCCCGGATGTGTCGAGCACTTCCACGTCATGTCGCAAACCACAAAGGTGCATAGCAAGCTCAGGGTCAAAACTAGACAGCTCACGGCAGACAACTCGGGCTGTCGGGTATCCCCTCTTCGGTGACTTCCCTGCAGCGGGTGTCTGAAGCTACCTCCAAGTTCTTCCTCTCAAGTTAGGATCGAGGAGAGCCTGAATGCCTCTCCTTCCGACAGGAAGATACCGCGCAAATGCTCATAACATCACATCACAAGATCTTCGAAGCGAAGCGCAAACCCTGCGAGCGTTCGAGGCTCAGGACGAACCGCTGAGAATCTCCCCCTCAGCTTCACGGCTCGATCTTAACTTCCGCTTCTCCCACGACGCGCCTGCGCCCCGTCGGCCCCGAGATCGTTGTGGCCTAGATCAAGGACCTTCAGGGCGGCCAGGCCCTTCAGAGCGGGCGCCAAAGCCTGGCGGCGGAAGTTGCTTTCCCGTGCGAAGTGCCTTACACCTAGATTGGCCGTCGAGTCAACATGCGTGATGCTCTAGATTCCTCTGCACACGCTTGGCCTGGAGATCTTGATAAGACAGAACTGTACTAGCAGAAAGCCAGGCTAGGGTGAGAAAATTCCACCTTCCCCGGCCTGAACCCCCTGTGAACCGATCTTGTTATCTTGTAGGTCCAACTGCTCGAGCAAGGACATGCCCGTGAAGGACTCTGCCATAGCCTGGCCGGCCCCGGCGCTTGAAGCACTTCCACGTCATGTTAGTTCGGCACAAATTCGTGCACAACGGTCGGAGCAAGCTAGGCATGTAAACTAGACATCCACGGTGTTGCATGTCTGCGGACACCTCCGCGTTTTCGCAAGTCAAGATTGAGTCGAGGAGGGGCTGAATGCCACCCCTTTTGACAGAGAGTAGGGATTTAATTATAGCCTCCTCTATAGCGAGGAAATCGAAGCGAAGCTCGGAACCTCACAAATCATTCGTAATTCAGAATCTCCACTCAGCTTCACGGCTGCAGCTTACAGTAGCTTCCGGTTCTACCACGACGCGCCTTCGCCCCGTCGTCCCCGAGACGGTTGTAGCCCAGATCAAGGACCTTCAGGGCGGCGAGGCCCTTGAGAGCAGGCGCCAGAGCCTGGCGGCGAAGTTGCTTTCCCGAGCGAAGGGCCTTACACCTAGATTGGCCGTCGAGTCAACATGCGTGATGCTCTAGATTCCTCTGCACACGCTTGGCCTGGAGATCTTGATAAGACAGAACTGTACTAGCAGAAAGCCAGGCTAGGGTGAGAAAATTCCACCTTCCCCGGCCTGAACCCCCTGTGAACCGATCTTGTTATCTTGTAGGTCCAACTGCTCGAGCAAGGACATGCCCGTGAAGGACTCTGCCATGGCCCCGATGTGTGGAGCACTTCCACGTCATGTTAGTTCGGCGCAAATTCGTGCACAACGGTCGTAGCAAGCTCAAAAGCACAAAACTGCATCCACGGCCTTCATGCTTTCTGGATTCATTTCGGTGTGTGGTAAGACCAGCTCCTCAAGACCAGACTTTCCATCCAGGGCGAGGCCGAGGGCCTAGCCAGATGCAAAGCGATGAGGCGGTGCCACAAGTGCCGGTGTCTCTTCTTTGCAGCAGTTCATTAAGCTCTTGGACACATATCCTAAAACGAGTTTGCTCCTGTAGACGAAAGAATGCAGTTACCCTCCGACAGCGAGCAGATGCATCATTCGTATCCTACCCAGCCCGGGACTTAAAGGGGCAACAATTCGTCAACACCATGCCTTCGTGTCGAATCTGCACATGAAGAGTGCCAAGCTCTTCAGCATGGCGTGGCCCTCCAGGGCCTCCAACACGGCCTGGCAGAGAAGCGAGGCCGCACCCAGGTAAAACGGGACGAGGGCAAATGAGACCCCCACAGAGCACACCCCCAACGCCTCGACATCACCACCCTCGACATGTAACACCTGGAGCCGAGACTGGCCCTGCAAGGCTGCCGCCAGCTCCTGACGAAAGCAGGATGTCAGTTCGGAAGCTGTGCTCTCACCAGATCTGGGAACAAAACGCCGCAGGGCCTTGCAACCCTCTCGTCTTAGCCAAAAGATCTCGGCTTGGCCATCTCGGAGAGCCTGCTGCACCTGTCCGAAAAGCTCTGCTGACACTGCGGCCCCCAGGCGCGGAGCTGCACCTCCTGGGCTTCGTCAGCAGCAGTCGACTCATCACCCTGGCGTGCCAGCACCACGTCCATCAGCTGGAAGCACCGACTGAGGTCTGCGGCAGCCTCGGTGGAGCACAGACGACTATTCTTGTCAAAGGGATGCCCACAGTACCACAGTACGGCACAGCCCGGCCTGGCCTGTACCCGGCACTTCCATTCCAAGCTCATCAGGTTTCCGGAGATGTGTAGCTGAACAGCTGCAGGTCTCTCAGTGGAGCCCAGAGCCTGCATGCTTAGTGGCATCAGATGCCTCCAAAGACGTCGGCACGCTTCCCTCCGGGTCCCAGCCTCGAATCCTTCCGTGCCAATGCCGCTGGCCGCGAGGCTCAGTCGCTCGATCGCACAGCGTTCAGAGTCGAAGCACTCTGCCACGACCTGACAGCTGAGGCGACGTGTGAAGGAGGAAGGCGCCTTGCATCGCCGGCCTTCGCCCCCGCATCCCCCAAGGCGTTGTGGGCAGCACGGAAGTCCTTGAGGGTCGTCGTGCCCAACAGCTTTTTCAAGGCCTGGACAGACACAAAGTTGACGTTTGACGTGTCAGGGCATGCGACGTGCTTCAATCGTCATTGCAGCGCAACTTGCTCCTGCACGTATGGCCATCTTCGATCACCGTGGCGCCGCCCGCCCCCGATGACATGGTCGACGCTTGCCCCACCCGACGAGCACAAATCGGCCGGCGGAGTCCATCGACAATCTCTGACTAAAGCGAAACATGCGAAACACTTTGGGAGAAGATCCCAGGCCTCTACAAAGGCAAGATGGTGGACTCTCCCACGGCTCGATATCCGACACCACATCATGCACATTGCACACTATGCTCCGCAAGGTTGACTACAACGCTTCCCAGCTTTCACGACGATGCCCGATACAATTTTGGGTTCACGAAGCCGCGGATGTGACTCTGGAGCGGTGACAGGGAGCACCGAGCAGAAGAGAGACTCTGCGTGGGCACAAACATGCTGCCCCTTTCCAGGCCTCGGAGCCGTCCTCCCCAATTCCGTTGGAGCCAACATCGATCGTCTCCACGGGCGTCTTTGCCTCGACCAGTGCCTCTGCCAAGGCCTGCGACAAAGACGATCCAGGAGAGGCGGTGTCAGCACGGTTCAAGAGCTTCGGAAGCTTTCCCAGCCCGGCCTGGAAGCCCGCTGTGCCCAGGTCGTTGCCGGCCACGCTCAGGTGGCGGAGGATGTCTCTGCGTCGGGACGCAGTGACCGCCTCCGTGATGCACAAAGACGGTGATTTGCCAGGCACCACGCTAACGCGCCGCTCTCGGCTCACGGCAGGCCTCGGCGAGTGCACCCGCCAAGGCGTTCTGGTCGGCTCGGAAGTCCTTCAGGGTCGCGATGCTCAGGACCATCTTCAGCGCCTGCATGCAATGCTCTCGAAATGCATGCGCTTGGCTTGGCTGCTGCAGGGCAGGTGAATTGGCCTGCGATTCATTTTTTGTAAAAGCTGCGAGGGAAGACTCTACGACGTGAGGGAGGGAATCCGACAAAGCCGAAGTAAAGACAAAAGGATGGCAACCGGAAGTGGCCGTCGGTTGCGAGCAATTCTGACCATGCCCCGGTTCCAGCCAAGCATCAGCAACCAAAACACGATAAAACTGAATCTAGACCTTTCCAGGGTCTTTAGCAGTAGAGCATGTATGACAGGGTTTCTCATGGGTTGTTTTTCTCTATATCACAAGTGCAGCTTGCCGAGTGGTCGTGCTTGTCCGTCACCGGCATCTGCTGACGTTTCGTTAGATTCGCCAGATCATGTGACCCGGTAAGTGATTTTCCACTGCTGAGGCTGAATTACGCCCATCTTCGACACCCTCTGTGGCTGACAGGACCGCATCAAATCAAGAAGTGTGCCTAGTACCAGGGACCGTCGAAGCAGGGTCCGCACGCAAGGATGACACCATGAATATGGCTCAAGCGCGTCTGCAAAGAGGCATTCAGCCCACTGACTGTGGACTCCCGTCCTTGGTCTCTGCCTTCAAGGCTTTGTTGGGTTCGTTTAGCAGATGACAGTTCGTGGCAGACAAATCCAGAATAGGCCTCAAAGTTGTCCCACTTTAACGACAATCACCGGCTCCATCCATTCCCAATCACATCTTCCACGACAGCATCGGCGTGTGTCCGGCAAACGCGAGAAATTCGGACAATCATGGCCACTTCATCTGTTGTTCATCTGAGCATGGCGTCATTGTGTTCAATGGACTCAAACGGGGTGCCCGATCACTTCTGTCTTGTTTTTGGGTTCACTTGTGTCTTTTTTTGGGGGGTCGCTTGTGTCTTTGTTTTCGGGGTCGCTTCTGTCTTTTTCCTTCTTCGGAAGCAACAGTCTCGAACGAGAGGTGCCTTGGTAGGACCTCACCCCGCTCAGTTTCAGGCTCGGTATACATAAAGTGCAAAGGCAATTAGCTTGCTCCCTTTCTGCGTCCACATGCACATAGACATGCATGCGTACTCTACGAGGGGGTGTCTAAACATGTGTAGATATTTATTGTTATATTACACATTGTACGCATATACGTATACCTACATGTAAACATGTACGTACACATAAACACATGCAACTAACATATACAGTTTACTCCTTTTAGGGTTTCGTTCTGGGTTTACTCCTCTTAGGGCCTGGGCCTTCTTTCATTAGGGTTTCGTTCTGGGTTTACTCCTCTTAGGGGTTGGGCCTTCTTTCATTAGGATTTCGTTCTGGGTTTACTCCTTTTAGGGTTTCGTTCTGGGTTTACTCCTCTTAGGGGTTAGGCCTTCTTTCATTAAGGTTTCGTTCTGGGTTTACTCTTTTAGGGTTTCGTTCTGGGTTTACTCGTCTTAGGGGTTGAGCCTTCTTTCATTAGAGTTTCGTTGTGGGTTTTCTCCTTTCAAAATTTAGGGTTTCATTCTGGGGTTACTCCTTCTAGGGTTTCGTTCTGGGTTTACTCCTCTTAGGGGTTGGGCCTTCTTTCATTAGGGTTTCGTTCTGGGTTTACTCCTTTCAAAATTTAGGGTTTCATTCTGGGGTTACTCCTTCTAGGGTTCGTTCTGGGTTTACTCCTCTTAGGGGTTGGGCCTTCTTTCATTAGGGTTTCGTTCTGGGTTTACTCTTTTTAGGGTTTCGTTCTGGGTTTACTCCTCTTAGGGGTTGGGCCGATTACTCCTCTTAGGGGTTGGGCCTTCTTTCATTAGGGTTTCGTTCTGGGTTTACTCTTTTAGGGTTTGGTTCTGGGTTTACTCGTCTTAGGGGTTGGGCCTTCTTTCATTGGGGTTTCGTTCTGGGCTTACTCCTTTTAGGGTCTCGTTCTTGGTTTAGTCCTCTTAGGGGTTGGGCCTTCTTTCATTAGGGTTTCGTTCTGGGTTTACTCCTCTTAGGGGTTGGGCCTTCTTTCATTAGGGTTTCGTTCTGGGTTTACTCCTTTTAGGGTTTCGTTCTGGGTTTCCTCCTCTTAGGGGTTGGGCCTTCTTTCATTAGGGTTCCGCTCTGGGTTTACTCTTTTTAGGGTTTCGTTCCGGGTTTACTCCTTTTAGGGGTTGGGCTTCGTTCTGGGTTTACTCCTTTTAGGGTTTCGTTCTGGGTTTACTCCTCTTAGGGGTTGGGCCTTCTTTCATTGGGTTTCGTTCTGGGCTTACTCCTTTTACGGTTTCGTTCTGGGTTTACTCCTCTTAGGGGTTGGGCCTTCTTTCATTGGGTTTCGTTCTGGGCTTACTCCTTTTACGGTTTCGTTCTGGGTTTACTCCTCTTAGGGGTTGGGCCTTCTTTCATTAGGGTTTCGTTCTGGGTTTACCCCTCTTAGGGGTAGGGCCTTGTTTCATCAGGGGTTCGGGGTCAGGTCCTACCAAGGCACCTCTCGTTCGAGACCGTTGCTTCCGAAGCAAATAAAAGACACAAGTGACCCCCAAAAAAAGACACAAGCGAACCCAAAAAAAAGACACAAGTGACCCCCCTTCCGACTCAAACAATCTCCCGAGCTTCGAAGCACCTGTGACTGTATACGTTTGGAAAGGCTTGAGCATGGTGCGGTTGCTTGTCCTTTCTGAACTTCCAACGCAATCGTCTTTCACTCGCAACGTTCGCTCCCAATGGCCGACCACGTGGATGAATTTCACCTTGTTCACAGCATTAGCAACCTGAGCACGATACCACTGCCCGAGCCTCTGTGCAGTTCGGCCCGAGATCGTTGGAGCCCACGTCCAAAGTCTCCAGCAGGGAACTTCCAGCGAAAGCCTCTGCCAAGGCCTGAGAGAGAAGAGCGGAAGCCCCGACGAACTCACACGATACTCTGCCGGAGCCCAGCCTGGAAGCCGGCAGCACCCAGGCCGTTGCCAGCGGCGTTGAAGTGCCGAAGTCTTCGAATGCACAGAGCTCCAGTGAGCGCCTGCTACGGCGAAGGACACGGTGCTTGGGCTTCTTGGCTTTACATCAATCTGCCTGCACCTCACCTCACCAAGCTATGTACTGCGAAGGCCTCAGCACATTCCAGCCCAAGCTTGTTGGAGCCCACGTCCAGAGACTCCAAAGGAGTCTCAGCCAAAGCCTCTACCAAGGCCTGCGAGAGAAGAGTGGGAGCGTAACCTGCACAAAATCCTGCCGGAGCCCCAGCCTGGAAGCCAACCATGCCCATGCTGCTCCCAGCGACGTTGAGATGCCGGAGGCTTCGGATGCGCAGGGCTTCTTTGGCGAGATCCTGCAAAGAACCCAAAAAGACAAGCAGGCTTCCTGGCTTCGACCGAAAGTAAGGCCCTGTGAAAACGCGGCACGGTGCCTGCATACCGGCGGTTCCAAACGAATTTCCCTGCAGCTTCAAGTCGACGATGGAGCCGTTGGTAGTGATGCTAGCAGCCAGGGCCTGTCCGCTGGAATCATGGAATCAGGCGCAACTTCGCCCTGCAGATCACTGGCAAGTCCAGAACGCGGACGGAAGCCCTCCACTCTGCATGGCTGTCTCTGCCTGAGCCTGCTCTGCTCCGAGGTCGTTCCTGGAAAGGTCGACCTTCCGTCAGCTTTTCTGGGCATCTCATGCTCAAGCCCGTCGGAAGAGGGAGAGAGGGAGGGCCTTCTCCACAAAGACCGCCTTCTTCAGGAAGCTGCACACGGCCTGAAGGTGCACAAGGTTAAAGGTTAGGATTTGGGCTTCTGTAGGAAAGACGAGCCTTGAACTCCACCGCATCGCCGCGCAGGCCCCGGTCATCCAGAGCAAGTCGCGTGTCTGCGGAGGTCGCCAGCGTCATGATTTCCTTCAAGAGCTGGATGTGCCGTGGTCCCCGCTCCCCTGCAAGGCATTCGCAAGGGCTGTGATTCGTGAGTTTGTAGACTGTGATCCTTTCAAGCAAGCACAGCAACGGGCCTGGCCTCTCAGGTCCTCCGAGTTCAAGCGCAAGCCATCGAAGATGGAGAGGCCGTTCGCGACATCAGCCAGGAGCTTGGGAGCACGTTGAAAGTCCGCCTCTTCAGGCATGCACTCTAACTAACTCGACTCAAGCCTAGACCTTATAGCAATTGATTGCACAACATCCCCGCAATTGAAACTCAGGGTTTACGGGGCCTCCTTCCACATTCGTCCCAAAGTCAAATCATCTCCATCCTTGATGGACGAATTGAGCTTCTTGACGAACCAGGGCGTCACCGCTTCCCGCAGACGTGGGAAGAGTGCCCAACCTCCGACCACTTGCAGAATCGGCACCGTGATGTTGAGGATTGACACGATCATACTTCCGCCTTCTGCTGCTGTGTACACTACCGCCATGATCGCCTGCGGGGCATTCTCCACGAGCAGCATCTGCTGCTTCGTGGGAGTCGTCTGCCGGTACAGAATGGGCAGCAGCTTGTCGTGCCACATCCTTCTGCACCAGCCGTCTTTCTTGGAGTCGGGCCGCTCGGCCTCGTGGTTCTGGGCAGCTTCAGTCTCCGTCGCCATGGTCCACACCGATAGGACGTGTCCCGCCAGCTCGTTTAGCACCCTCTTCTTCCGCAGGAGACCCGCATGGAACGCCGGGATGTAGAGCCAGGCGAGCCAGGCCATGGCTTTGACGGCAGGCCGCTCCGACTGCCAGCAGAGTCCTCCAAACATGACATCCTTCAGCGTGTCGAAGTTGTCCGAAAGGAAGGGGACCATGCCGGAAAGGGTTGCCTCAGCGAAGGCCATCGAGCCATATTCGTTCTCCTTCGGCAGACACAGGGCCTGAAGCAAGTGCCAGAAGCATGCGAGGCTTAGAAGTCCCAGATACCACTCCCAATGCAGGCCGGTGCTCTTGGACAAGGTGCCTGTTGCAAGACTAACCACCGTGGCAATCATGCAAATCAGGTATGTGCAAGAGAAGCAGATCTGGACCGCCCTTTGGCGGCTCAGACATGCCCAGACCCGGGTACCTGTCACTGTCCTCGCTGGGCGCGGGCTCAGTAGCGTGTCTGCATCTGTGGGACTGGGATTGCCCAGCACGGTTGCGGCCACCGGCTGGGCTTCTTCCCTGGCTTCTCGGGCTTTCCGCGCCTTTCTGGCCCTTGCTGTGTGGGCCGCCACGATTGCTGTGCCGAGACAAACCGTCCCCAGATATACCGCAAAGAGGAGTGGGACGAAGAGGACCGATCGATCATCAATGCCCGCAGCCTCCTGCAAAGCCCCTGTAATCGAGACGTTCTGCTCCATTGCTCGCCAGCTCAGGCTTTTCCCTAGTAGGATCTTGATGCGCCCTCAAAGTTACATGCTGGGTCGAAGCAAAACCACCCTTCCCAGAACCGAAAGATTGGCATGCTTCTTCTTACATCCTCATTTGCTGCTGTGCTTCATTGCATCTGTGCGACAGCTGCTTCGTACCTTTGCTTCGGGCCCCGAACTCCTGCAAAGTTGCAACCTAGGTGCGCATGAGCGAAGGATTTAGGGGGGATTTAGGCTTTAGGGCTTTAGGGGTTTAGGGTTAGTGCGGGTCGCTGTTGACCTCTACCAGGGTCATAGGTTGGAAGCCTGGAATTTGCGGCCACGTGTTGCCCTTCGTCAATCGACTTCCCTGCCGCATGGTCCACCTACTCTGTGCACTCCAAGACTTCTCGTCACACGTCCAACTTCTCGCAAACGGGTTCTGCAGAAATACTCCAAAACTGCTCCAGGCTCTCAAGCCCTCCACATGTTGAACCACAGTACTTCCAAACTTGCAAAAGCTCCAAACGCTGGACGAGGATCCAACATCAGAGGAAAATCACCGGGGAGCGGCAGAGTCGCTGAACATTGACTGGATGTGAGGCGGAATGAAACGATGGCGACGAAAACAGAGCGGAACGACAAGGGTGAAACCTATTGATCTGCTGAAGGTGAGGTTCGAAAGTTTCAGTCTCCCTAAAGCCCTAAGAAGCCCCATGCAGGGAGCTCGGAGAGAGACTGACGGGCCCAGGTGAAGAATGGGGTTTTGGGGTATGCTATACTAAGAAGAACTCCAAAATAGCATTGGTGAATATTATTTAGGCGCAGAACTCAAATCCAATCGCACAAATCGATGGGCAAGCATCCTACTTTTCCATCAGGGTAGGACCTCCAGCGCTCAGAGCTTAAAACTCCATTCCGCAGCCCCTCCACGAAGCAATCAAGGGTCCCGGCCCCCCTCCACTAAGCAATCAAGGGTCCCCGCCTGTCTATGAATTTGCAGCACAAGGACATCTTCAGCCGGTAAGGTGGTATCCTTTTGCGCACGCAGCAACACTGAACCCACGAAATCCCTTGAACCAAAGCACTGCAGTCTCAGAAAAAGCTCTGCACCTTTCAGTGGCCAGTGATGGAAACGGAAGGAATCGGCTTTGGCTCGGGCAGATAGACAGCACACAGCATACTATGATATACCATTGTTACCCTATAATACACTATGCTACATACCACAACATACTCAGAACAAGCTGGCATGAAATCTCGACAGCGCGAAAACTTTGAATTCCATGGTTTCAGAATCAAGGAATCACCCCTTAGAGCACGACATCTCAGTACTTCTTCCACGTATCAATCGGTCTAAGGTCAAAGTCAGTGCTCTAACCATGCCCCTGTCAGCCCTGTCAAGCTTTGAACTGACCTCGGATCGGTCCATGCATGCTGGATGCCTTACAAGTTGAAAAAAGTGGCGAAACCCGTGACCACAATCTCTAAGACTCTATACTTCCTAAACCTGAAATCCTAAACCCTAACCCCACGAAACTAAAAGTCTAACACTGGGCGATTTTGTCCGACTTGCCACGCTCGCTGTGCTTGGCAACAGCGGCTCCACGTACAGTGGCCTCGAGACTCGAGCCGGCAAGCCGCAAAGAAAGGATCGTCCAATTCCCGATGAGACTTCTGTTGATTTAGAGTTCAGGATTTGATGGCCTGGGGCTTCAGGGCTTTGGGGTTTTGGGCTCTCAACCCCTCTCGGGTTTGGGCCTTTGCCAGTTAGCCGACGGCTACAAACACGACGACAACGATGACGAAACAAAGACGACGAAAGCTGCTGCTGCTGCTAATTGTTCGACGACCACTACTTCAATACGACCACGACCGCGACCACGACTATCCCTCCTACGCCTGCAACTACCACACCCACTGCCTCTGCCACTGCCGGTGCTGCTGCTGGTGTCACTGTCACTGCCAGAACCGCTACCGCCGACGTTGCCACTGCTAACTTCTAGCTAGTACTCCGACTACTCCCACTACTCGTACTACCAGCACTACCACGACCATGACCACGACCTCTGCCACTCTGCCTCTGCCACTGCCAATGCCACTACCAGCACCACTACCACTACCACTACCACTAGTTACCAAACACTGCCACTACCTCTACTACTTCTCCTACTGCTACTACTACCACCACCACTAGTAACTAGCAGAACTAGCGGTCTTGCCCTGCACACCAGGTGGCAGCTTGTCCCACGGCATTCAATTGCGGCGCAGCCAGTCAGCCTGTGCCCGGCCCCGGGCGACCCACACGGAGAGGTCCTGAGAATATTCCGGGCTTCAGGGTTCTAGGGTTGAGAGCTTCGGGCGGGTTGTTAGGGATTTTGCGGTTTTGGGTTTGGGCTTCACGACGAAAGTTTTGTTCAGGCTTCCGGACTTCAGGATTGAGACTGTAGGGCTTTTCTTTGCTGCTTTGGCTGTACGGGTTTTGGTATTCTGGTAAAGCTTGAAGAATTCGCGGTGTACGACAAGATGTGCATGAGGCGTTCGTGTTACCTGCGTTCCGAGTGTTGTGGATGTCGAGCGTTGGAGGGGGGAGGCGTCGTTGTTGGTGTCGATGAGGGGTGTTGATGCTTGTTGTCGTTTTGTATCGGCTCTGTTGGCCATAACGAAGAAGATGACGACGTCTATTGCCGCCAGTGTTCGGTGGCCTTTCCTACTGTCAATGTCACGATTTTCATTTTAGCCTTCGGGGAACATGGAGTCCTGGCTCGGCGCTCAGGAGAGAAGAGCTCAGAGGGTGTCTTGCTGCAGGGTTCCCTGTCGGGTGAGGTTTCTGGGTTGTTGGGATAAAGTTTCAGATACTGCGCCGGTCCTGCAGATCTCTTCAATACTTGGGTAGTTCAGGTCGTCTGGGTCATGAAAGGAGATTCCGGTCATGTACATTATCCGGACATGAAATTACCCGCAGGAATTAGATAGCTCAATCAGCTTTGCGTGCGGAACACTCGCAAAAAATACAGAGCAACATTCCCTAGGGCTCTGAGGACTCATATTTTAAGGCTTGTGGGCCCAAAGACCATACTGTGTAAGGCTTTTGGGCTATTTTGGATGATATAGGGACTACTATAGGGATCCATTCCCCCATTCCCTACATAGCAACATTCAGGAAGAGACTCCGAGATGCTTTTGCGGAGATTCTCAGCCGTGGGCTCGTTCACCGGCACAGGGTCCATCCAGACAGGCTGGAACGGCAGGTTCTCGAGAAGCCCTGGGCGGGAGTCCTCCAGGACCAGCTCAAGGGAACCCGGCTTGAGGCTGCCATCTATACGTGCTTAGGCTTAGGTCTATTTCTAGCTTCCTGTGCCTCTATCTCTTCATCTATCTAGTCTGCTGTCTGCTTGTCTACATGAGTCACTGTCTCCACTGTACCTCGAGGTTTTCCGTAGATTCTAGCCTCCTTGTTGACACTTGTTTCAAGCTACAGCTAGCAGATGAAATTAGCCTTGCTTCATCACGAGCTTTGTGGCTTGGCAAAGGGCTCTAGGAGCCCTAGGCCTAGGAGGGCTCCTAGAGCTAGGAATAAGGGTACTTAACACGATCCCTTGATGGAGAGTCCTGTTCCAAGGATCCAGCAAAGGATCCCCGGGATATTCCGCATTCAAGGGGCTTGAAATAATCTCTAGGGGCACATTAAGATTAGCTGCAGACAAATGTCCCGGATCTGCCGCATGTAAGTGGACACGTCTCCCATCAGCTGGCAGTACTGCTGCGTCAATTCCTCAGCGGGACCCCGCCGTGAACCTTAACCCTTCACCTCACCTGCATGATGGTCCGAAGACCCAGAAGTAAATCATGAATCCTAAACTCCAAGCTTAAGCCCTAACCCTCTTTGCGCATATCCAAAACCTTAAGGTCTCGCCAAAGCCCCCTAAAAAAGGCCCCGAGCCCGACGAGCCCAGGACACGGATGGGGGTCTCGAAATTCGATCGATTTCTAGGGCTTGAGGCTTCGAGCTCAGCCATGGTCTCATTCGGAAGCTTGTGGTTTCGGACCACCGGCGCTGCAAAAATCTCTTGAAGCTCAGCTCTCGCATGGAGCTGCAAGCTCCTGCTTGGCCTCTTGTCTCTTAAAGCCCGTGCTTTGGGCACGGCCCCCATACAGTAACAGTCTATAATAGGGCTACTATTAAGGTCTTTATATATCTATAGTATGAATATTATCCAACTGTTACTGAGTGGGGGCAGTACCCAACCCACGCTCGCCAAACCACTGGATGGCCAAGTGTGAAGCTTCGAAACGCTCGTTACAGCCACTTCCAACTCCGGCAGTTCCGGCAACGCGATCACTAGGACGTACTTAACCTGTCACGTCCTTACAGAAACACCGGGAAAATGATAGCTCTGCCGAATCCTGCCAGTTTCTCGCACATGAGGCGAAAAGCTCACAAACTAGAAATGTACGAACTCCAAAAACCCCTCATGTTGACCCTCCCATGAAATCCAGCAACACTCCCAAGAACCAGTAATATGCTTCGAGGAGCCCTTAAGTTACCCGTAATAGAAGAGGAAGACCTGTACTTTGGGTATCAACTCCTATGGCACCCACGAAACCCTGGAAGATCCTTAGCAGTCGGAATACTTCAACTAAGGTTTTCTAGGGCTTGGGATTTAGGGTTAGGGTGTAATTCCCAAGCTTCGGGGCTAAGTGCCCTTCCTGATTGCGGTGCCGGAGCCGTCGGATTCTTGCGGATCTCCCACTCCACGAATCACAAGAGGACCCTCAGTTTGCTTTGCAGCCCAGATGCTGCATTCCATTCGATGAGCTCCTTCTTATAAGGGGCGTGCTGTATAAACTCTAAGCATACTGAAACATGGAACTGATTCAGGATACTGAGCGCTGCGAGTTCCGATGGCATGAGGATATGATGGATATACCAATTCTGCCATAAACTTCAGGTCGTGGAACCAGGTGTGGTACTCGCGATTCAGGGTTGAAGGGTTCGCGATGAATCTAGG